GCTCTGTGACTGCTGCTGTGGAATCCCCTCAAAGACCCCTTCAGCATGAGAAACTTTACAAATCCTTTCTTTCCACAAACCCACTCATCAGAGTAACTTCTCCTGAGAAGCCGAGGGATCATGTGTGATTTTTTTTTTTTTTTTTGGCATTTCTGTCCTGGAAGGGCTAAGCCTGGCCTGTCAGTACCAGTCACTTCTCTTACCATGTAACATTTTTAGACTCTCTTTTCACAGTGCCCAGCTATTCTGTGCTGCAGTGTGGCACCACAAAGGAGCACATACAAAAATTCTTTTGACTTTTTAATTTTTTTCTAACTTTAACCATTATTTGTCTTAAAGAGACCTGGCTATTAAAATATCAATAAAAACCCCATCATCTAAGGATAAAGGCCTTTTTTCTTTAGTTACCTGACAGAGTAATTCGGATAGACATAAAGATGATTTTTAACTATGCTAGAAGAATTCCTCTGAACTGCATGCTCTGTATTATAAGAAATAATTCCATAGGACTAGTTTTAGTCTTTCACTGAGTTTAGTTTTGTATATCTAGTATGCATATATAACTTAGTATGTATATATAAGACCACAGTTCTTCAGAAATAGTTTTGGCTTCATTATGAGTCAGTTTGGTATACCCAGTGCCAGATATCACTTAATACTTTTCAGACCAATCTTTTTACATCTGGGTCTATTTTAATATTCATTTGAAAATTAGATGTTCCAAGCGCTTACGAATGGGATTATTTGAATGCTCATAATGGGAGTAATTTGTCAGCACAGTTTTTATGGGAAATCTGAAGGGATTTCCAGAAATTAATCAAGGATCTGACATTTGCAGGCACTGTTCTGGTCCTGAGACTATGTGGGGTCAGGGTGGAGGAATCAGACATATGATTCCTGCTGTCAAAAAGGTGAATGATAGTCAAGTGGAAAGAAGACAATTGAGGAACAGTTTTAACAAAGTGCCAACATTTCCCTGATAGTGGAAGTACAACATGCTATGAGAGTACATGAATGAAAAGAGAAAATATACATGCAAACCTCTTAGATTGAAAAAGCAGTGTTTGCAATAATTCTAGACTGTGCTGAAAAGAGTTATTTTATCTTTGAGTATTTTTATAGCTCTTAAGGTCTCAAGATTATTCTTGCAGGATAGAAGACTGTAAAAGTTAAAAATGTACAGGTTTTAATGAATAAGATAATACTTATAAGATAATGCTAAGATTAGGAGGATCTTGACATTTTCTTGATTAAGTGTAGGAGGTATAGGAATTATATTTTATATAGTATTTTGAGGGAAGTTTCCATTTAATAGCAAAATACTTAAACTAGAGTGTTTTAATGGCAATCTGATCTACAGATTGGAAAATTTCTGTTGATTAACTTTTAATTTCATTAACTCTTTTTTATACAATTCCAATCTGATGCTAAGCTGACCCAGTTATTTTTGTATTTAAATTATTCTTTTCATTTTTCAATTTCATTTTTTGTGATGTATAATTTAGCTCTATTTATTCATTATATATATGTTTTCTTTTATAGTTTTGAACATATTTTATATTTATAATAGTTGCTATAAAGTCCCTGTCTGCTAGTTGTAGGATCTGCGCCATCTTTGCATTGATTTGTATTACCTATACTCCTGTTGTTTTGGTTTTTCCAAAAAATAGAGCTCACATTTTCTAGTTTCTTTATATCTGCTTATTTTTGACAGCATATTGGATATTGGAAATGATATGTAGTAGAGGCTCTGAACTTCAAGTTTTTTTCTGAAGAGTGATTTTGGTTTTGCAGGCAGTTAACCTCGTTGGATTGAAACTTCAGTTTTCTCTCTTTTACATGAGGAGTTGCTTGTATTTTTACTCAAATCTTTCAGCTTCCATCTGTTGCCATTATACTGGGCTTTCTTAGAGCATGCATAGTCAGCAGAATTTGGATAAACTTTTTACAAAGGTTTTGTAGGTAACTTTGTGTCCAGGATTTAGCACATCTAATTATTCTGTTGCTTGTGAGCCCTGAAGCATATCCTCTGATACCTGAAGCCAATAAAGCAGCAGATTTCTGCTGCCAGAGTAGCAGACAGATTGGACACTGCATGCCCCAAAGCAAAAGGCAGCCACTTACCAATCACATAAGGTGCTGTTTGCCTTTTGAAAGAGATCTGCTTTTCAATTTCTTCCTGCTTTTGGTCCATGTGCCTTTAAGTCAATTCTTAAAGGTATTTTTTCCAAATTGTATAATAGTTTCTATAGGAGCATTCACTCCAGTGAATTACTTCATCATTTTCCAAAATAGAACAACTCCAAAGAAAAATAAAATTTGAAAGCTGATGCCAAAATTAAGGCCATTAATAGAGATATGGTACAGCTAATACAGAGTTTTAGTAAGATTATTACTTGCCTAATCTGAGCACTTTATTTCCAGTAACACAGGCTAATATTCTGTTGGATGTTTTTACTAGATGTCACATTTGTGGTACATGCTGTACTTCAGCTTATGGTCATTCAAAGGATCTAGATTATTTTCATCTGAATTTCTCCTAAGCCCGAGCTACAGAAAATGGCAGGAGATAAAGAAGGAAAGAACATGGATGGCCTTTGGTCTTTCATTCAGCAACTGATCTCACTTAGTTTTTCTAACGTAACTTCAGCATTTTTTATCTCACTCAAGGGTTAGAGTAATTTTTAAAACAGTTATCTGCCGGGAGCGGTGGCTCACACCTATAATCCCAGCACTTTGGGAGGCCGAGGTGGGTGGATCACCTGAGGTCAGGAGTTTAAGACTAGCCTCACCAACATGGTGAAATCCTGTCTCTACTAAAAATACAAAAATTAGCAGGGCGTGGTGGCGGTTGCCTGTTGTCCCAGCTACTCAGGAGGCTGAGGCAGGAAAATTGCTTGAAACCAGGAGGCGGAGGTTACAGTGAGCCGAGACTGCACCACTGCATTCCAGCCTGGGTGACAGAGCAAGACTCCATCTAAAAAAAAAAAAACAAAACGAAAAAAACATAATCATCATGAAATTTCACTATTAAATCTTCTAATCCAGAGACGGATGTGAAATACATCAATAAAATACAAAGAAAGCATAATTTCACAATTAATAATTGTGTGACTTCTTAATATACAATCCATATACCTACAAATAATCTAGCCACAAACCAATTTGCTTGAAGAAAAGACCGAAAAAAAAAATGTTAGAGGCTCACTGTTCTGTTCTGAAGAGATAATTACAGTGTTCTATTTTTTTCCCAGAATTTAATTTTTCTATTGACAGGGTTGGTATAAGTAGATTAGTAGTTTATCTAGGTTGATAGAATGAAATTGGAAAGGTTTTATTGTCTGTTTTATTACAGATGCTTAGAATAGTGTTTCAAGTTATTCACATAATGATTGAATCAACTTAATTGATAATTATATATTAGGTGACCTTGACCTTTTGTGTTAAAAATTTCAACTCATTTTAATTTGAATTTTCAATTGTTTATGGAGTGTTCATAATCATTTTCAGGTCATTAATTATTAACACATTATACAAATGACATGAAAAGTCAAACATTGGGGTTGTTTTAAAATTGTTCGTTTTTGTATAGCAGACATACATTTTTACCTGGACTGGAATCTTTCCAAAAACATTCGTGTAACTATAATTACAAGTAAAAAGTCTACGACCAAAGACACAGAAGACACGTAAAAAAAATGACAAGGAAGTTAAACCAAGGAAGAAAAAGAATAAGAGACTAAAAGAAAGGAGGTACCGGCTGGGTGCGGTGGCTCACGCCTGTAATCCCCAGCACTTTGGGAGGGCCGATGGCGGGGCGGATCACGATGGTCAGGAGATGGAGACCATCCTGGCTTAACACGGTGAAACCTCCGTCTCCACTTAAATACAAAAAAACTAGCCGGGCGAGGGTGGCGGCGTCCTGTAGTCGCAGCTACTCGGAGGCTGGAGCAGGAGAAATGGCGGGGAACCCGGGAGGCGGTAGCTTGCAGTGAGCTGAGGACCGGCCCTTGCACTCCCAGCCCTGGGCGGGACAGAGCGAGACTCCGTCTCAAAAAAAAAAAAAAAAAAAAAAGGAGGGACCTTGGCTTTTCTATGGTTGCTTTAGGGAAACTGTACGAGACTTTAAGCCCATTAGTAAGTTTCCTGAAGATCCCACAGCTATGCATGGGAGGAAAAATGGAAAGAGAGGCATTGTTGGGAGGAGGGAAGTGCTGACATATAACAAGAGATGTGAAAGAAACATTTGGTTGGTGTCAGAGGATGGATTGCCACTTCCTAGGAGAGGAAGCTTGGCATAGTAGCCCTTTAAGAGAGAATACCTCTGTAGTCCAAGTTGGAAATTGCAGTAGTAGAAACTGAATTTTAGCTTTGATTAGTTCAAAATAAATAATCATTTTAATTAACAGGTTGACAATCATTGTCACCATTATTATTGTCAAAATTGTCAAAAAAAATTTAAAGTGTTTATCGCAAGGACACTATTCTGAAATCTACATGTATTGTCTTATTTTTCTTTTGATCCTATGGAGAGGTACCTTATTAGCTTTATTTGTGGATCAAAAAGTGTGGCTTAAAAGATTTAATTAACTTGCTAACATCTTAGAGGTAGTGAGTTGCAGAGGCTGGACTCAAAACTAAATCTCTCTGTCCCCCTAACTTATGCTCTTAATCACCAATAAAGAAAAAAAAAGCCACAAAAACCCAGGAAGGTTATTTAGCTTAAATTACTAATTTTAAGATCTCTGGTTTGGAGTTGGCCATTATGCAACATAAAACTTAAAAATTTTACATTATGGCCAACATAATGTTCTACCAATGTGAATAATTCAAGCATATGTTAGAGGCTGAACTGTTAGAATGAAATATTTGGCCATTATTTCAGGGGACTTCAGAGAGCTGAATTTTTTAAAGAACATATTTACAATAAGGCAAAATTCTTTTGCTATACACTAGTATTTTTGAAATGTTTACTGACCTTTTTTCCCCCCTCTCCTTAGGAAAAATTGGATGTAGGGGTGAGAAAAGAAGTCGACGGCATGGGAACATCTGAAATAAAATATGGTGACTCAGTATGCTATATACAACATGTGGACACGGGCCTATGGCTTACTTACCAGTCTGTGGATGTGAAATCTGTGAGAATGGGATCTATACAACGTAAGGTAAGATGATAGAAAAAAACATAATTTATAGAAGTCATTTTTTATGAATAAAATACCCAAGCGCAAGTCAAAAAAAAGGGGCTAATCTTTTTAGTCACCTGCAAAAGTTCATAATTTTGCAAGCGAAAGGGCAGATTCCACTGTAATAGACTCTTTAGCTTTGTAAGGTGAACATAGCTGGATGTTACATCACTCATATATAGGATTATGGGATGCGTGTATTTAAATATGAAGTGAAGAAATATACAGTGCCATCTTCTGGATTTTAATTTAGTACAGTTCACTTTGTCCTCCATGCTGTGACAAAGTCCGTTACTGACATCCCCTTGCTTACAAGAAGAGGCCCACCTTTTGGAAGTGATAATGATGCCCTTCCTGGCCTGCGCCGTTCTCCTACTCTCTTCCTGATTTCCAGACATTGCCTTCAATTTCCCCAGCATGTCACTTAACAACACATTCCTTGCAGTCTATCAGACTACCATGGCTTTTACACACCTGTGTCTCTGCAGACTGTTTCTTCTGTTTAGAATACCTTCAAACCTTTTTTGTCTCCGTGACTCTTATCCATCATCCAGGGATGCAATTTATTTATCATTTTAGAAGTTCTTCCTTACTGTATCAGCTTATCAGCTGCTCCTTCCTTTGAGTTCTCATATTGTTCATCTATAACTCATTACATTTTATAAACACACTCCTTGTGCTATTTTATTTAGTAGGCTACATATCTCTCTTTTTCTCACCACCTCTGTCCCCCACCCCCCTGCAAATTTGCAACTCCCTGAGGGAGTACATCATGCTAGATTGTTTATGTTTTTACATATGACATGCAGCACAGTGCACAGAACCAAATAACAACGCACATTGTTTCTGGAAACGTGAGACCTTGGAAAGGAAGGCTTTAGTGATACAGACCTTTTTATTTTCAAGAGATTTATTAATCAAAATCTATACCCACATTCCAGTAACTAAATAAATCACTGTTCTTGTGATCTATTTAGAGTGACCAGTGCTGATTTTAGTGAAAGTGAAGGCCAATGCTGCAGGGATAGAGTTTGACTTGAGTGCATCCCGGTACAACCTTCCTCAGAGCTTGGGATAGAGATCCTCAGACAATTCTGCAAGACCTTTATTAGCATTATAATAAGATGATACCTTGGTTTTTAGGTGTTTGATCTAGGCCCATACATTTAAGTGTACTTGTATGTATTCAATATTTGTGAAGCATTCTCTATTTCTTGCAAATGAAGATGGCCAGTTTTAAAACTTTTTATTATAGATAATTTAAATTTATGCAAAATAACTAATAGTGTAATGAACCCCTGAGTCTTCACCATTCAACATTTTCAATGCTCTCTTACTGTTGTTTCAATTAAAACTCCAATCCTATGCTGTGTTTCACTAGATTATTACTGTTACTTATTTTCAACTTTTAGAGGTAATATTTATACACATCGAAATGTAAACATTTAGGTGTAGAGGGTTTTTTTTTTTTCCTTGACACAAGAGTTTTGCTCTTTCACCTGCAGTGCAGTGGTACGATCTCTGCTCACTGCAACCTCCGCCTCCTGGGTTCAAGCAATTCCCCTGTCTCAGCCTCCTGAGTAGCTGGAATTACAGGCGCCCACCACTGGGGCCAGCTAACTTTTTTATTTTTAGTAGTGATGGGGTTTCACCATATTGGCCAGGCTGGTTTCAAACTCCTGACCTCAGGTGATCCGCCAACTCAGCCCCCCAAAGTGCTGGGATTACAGGCGTGAGCCACTGAGCTCAGCAGCTGTAGAATTTAACCCACAAGCTTATCTCCATGTGGAACATGTCTAATTCCAAGAAGTTTCCCAGCATTCCTTTCTAGGTTATTCCTGCTCCCTCTTCCCCAGGGACAACTACTCCTGCGATTTTTTTTTTTTTTTTTTTTCAGTCTCGCTCTGTGGCCAGGCTGGAGTGCAGTGGCAGAATCTCGGCTCACTGCAGCCTCTGCCTCCCGGGTTCAAGCGATTGTTCTGCCTCAGACTCCCAAGTAGCTGGGACTACAGGCGCCCACCACCACGCCCGGCTAATTTTTTGTATTTTTAGTAGAGACAGGGTTTCTCCGTGTTAGTCAAGATGGTCTCGATCTCCTAACCTTGTGATCCGCCCGCCTCGGCCTCCCAGAGTGCTGGGATTACAGGCATGAGCCACCGCGCCCGGCCACTCTTGTGATCTTTTTTTGTCATGGAAATGATCTTGTGATCATTTTTCTCTTTTAGCTGATGTTGAATTTTATATAAATGAAATTCTATAGCATGTACTCTTTTGTATATACCTCCTTTTGCTCAGCAAAAGGTCTGTAACATTTATCCATAATGTTCCATGTTTGAGCCCAAATTGCTTATGCTACTTTTTGAAACCAGAAACCAACAAGCCAGAAATTAAACACAATCTAAGGAGGGGGCGGGAGTCAGAAAGGAAAGGAAGAGTTAAAGATATGTAATTGCGACTTATTCTGTCTTCATTACTAAACTCTGAGATTGGAACTGAGTCTTTGATTTATGTATTTTCACTATCTAGCAGAGTGCTGGAACCAGAGTTGGTGCTCAATAAATGTTTCTTGAATGAAAACATGTATTTTCAAGGATGTGGAGTTATAATTGAGTTGGTGAGATTGCCCATGCACCTGCTAACTTGGTCTTCAACTGCATTAGCGTTACAGAATTATGAGCCAGGGTGAGCTGGGTTAGCATTCTCAAGGTGAACAGCTAATGTCGAAATTGTGACAGAAGAGGTAGATTTGGCTTTAAAGCAAATTTTTCTTTTGATAATGATGTTTGGTCATGGTTCTTCTGCTAGATTTAGCAGATGTTATCTTTTTTCTTTTAATATTTTACTTATAAAAATGTCAAATATAAAAAAAGTTAAAAGACTAAACCAATGAACATCCACATACTCTTGAATTAGAGTCAACAATTACAGTTAGCCAGATTTGCTTTCGTTTCCTCCTTTCTTTTCTCTCTCTGTGTGTGTATGCATTCACACATCCACAGTACTGTTACATACCATTATGGTAGTTCTATTACATCATTGACTATCCTGTTTGTATTAATATTTATTCTATTGTCCCAATAATACCTTTTCTAGTTGAATAAAATCAGGATACAATCAAAATTCATGCACTTATTTATTTTTATGCCTTTCAGTCTCTTATCTAGAACAGATTCTCAGCTTATTTTTTTCCTGTGCCATCGAGTTTTTAAAAAATCCATGCCAATTATAGAATACCTCAAGTTCTAGATATGTCTGACTTTTTTTCCCCACTGCCTATGCTCTTGGTAATTCCCATGAACTCGAAGCTAGGTATAAGGCTGTGCTGTCCAAATCAGTAACTGCTAGACACATGTGGCAATTTTGTATTTGTATATAACTACAACTAGATGAACACCATTTTTAGTTTTGTTTAATTTTAATTAAATGTTTAAAACATACACTTAAATTATTGGAAAACTTTTATGTATGTTTGGAACAAGTTGGGTATGTGAATCTACTTTTCCAACCATGTCTTTGGTTCCTGTTTTTGTGCCGTTTTAGTCTGCTGGTTTCTTTCTCAGGAACACAGCTGTCTTTCCTCTCAGTGTTCTCCCTGACCTTTTCTCTACACTTCGCTGCTCAAATGTGTCTTCCAAAGTACTCATTTTTTCTTTGGTGCTGTTCGGTTCGTAAGCCCTTTCTGTGCCTTTAAAATTCTAGTTTTCATGCTTTTTTTTTTTTTTTTTTCCTTGTCCTTATCTCACCCAGCTCACCTTTTTATCTCAGCTTGCTGTTCTTTCATCTGGTCTGCTGGTTTATTATCCCAGCATATTTCCTGTTGTGAATTTCCACTGCTATTTTATCGAAGTTGTAACTTGCATCCTGAGGACAGTTGAAATTGTTTTTATGTTTAAGTAGCCTCCTGCTATTTCAATTTTACTTAGCTTTTTAAAAATAGCAATGATTACTGAATTATATTAATAAAGAAGATAAAAATCATGTGTTTTGTCTTTTAACTTGTTGATAAAATAAGTTACCAGACTTACAATTATTAAAGAGTTCTTAAATTCACAGAGTAAACCTTCCTTGGCCATAGTGTATGATTCTTTTGAAATTCTACTAGATTTAATTAATATTTTATTCAGAATTATTACATGTATATTTATGGGGGAAGTTAATTTCTCCTTATAGACATTGAATTTGGAATTTCATACAATTTTTGTGTTTATTAATTTTTATGTGTCAGGAAACACCATTCTACTCTGGTCTTTTTTTCAACCATTTAAAAGTGTAAACACCATTCTTAGTTCATGGGCTGTATGGAAACAGATGATGTACTGTAGTTTGCCAATCCTTGGCCTAGACTAGTCTGCCATGAAAGGTAGCTGTTTTTTGAAGCTTTATCACAGCTCGCCTGTGGAACCATCTGGTCCTAGGTCTTTTAAATATTGGATCTTAAATTATCTTTTTCCTTTTGATTAGTCTTATTTTGTAAGAATCTATTCTGTTCCCCTGGAACACCAGTTTTGTTTATTGGTTTTATTTGGATGATTTTTGGTTTTGCCATGGAGTTGCACACAGTATTGTATTATTATAATTTCCCATTCTCTGTGTTTTTGCTTTCTGTTTTATCTTTAGCCTGGTTTGTGAGAGTTTCATTTTATTTATCATTGCAAAGAATCAAACTTTGAGTTTATTCATCTTTTCTAGTACTTTATTTGACTTCTAGTTTGTTAATTTCACTTAATCTTCATTAGTTCTACTTTTCAACTTTCTTTCCTGTTCTTTTTTTAGGATATGAAAATGAGTAACAAGTTCCTTCATTTTAGTTATTTTTTTGTATTAATGAGGGCACTTAAGGCTATGATATTGCCTTTGAATATAGATATATCTGTGTCTCACTGATTTTTTTATATAAGGAGTTTCCTCTTAACATTGCTTTCTAGATAATTTATAGTTATAGTTCCTAAATTTTGTTCAGTACACCTGGGTAGGTGTATTAAATTATCTTGCTATAAATGTTGCATGAAGATAAGCACAGATGGGAACAAATGGTTCTACTTATATATAGTACACAACTGATCTGTGCTGTCAAAAGTCTGCAAGGTGGTGAACCTTGTGGAGGGTAGGGATAGGAAGGGAGCACTAAGGAGGATTTTAAGATACTGTAATGTTTTCTTTCTTGAGCTGGGTGTTGGTCATGCAGGAATGTTCACTTGTGAAAATCATGGAACTATTTTCTTAAGAGTTTTGCATTTCTCTTTCCTAACATAGTTTCATAGAAAGTTCGAAAGCACACAAAAACAGCTATCAAAAGAAAAGAAATATATGTATACATTTTTATCATTTAGATGATTTATAAGCGTTGTTCAGTACTTATTATTGACTAGTCTGTGTTCAGAGCTACTATATGACTGGTGTGCCAATGCAAGGTTACCTTTGCTGCTTTGTACCAAGTTTGCTTAGGCTGAGGATCAGTCATTCAATGTAGATTTGTGAAAAGGCTCTGCTATTTGTTTTACTTGACTCGGTGCATTTTTTGAGTAGTTCTTGAAAATGATAACTGAGCTGCGCATGGTGATGGGGGCTTGTAATTCTAGCTATTCAGGAGGCAGAGGGAGAAGGATCACTGAAGCCCAGGAGTTCAAGACCAGCCTGGGCAACATAGCAAGACCCCATCTCCAAAAAATAAAATAATAACTAAATGAATAAATGGAATGGCTAGTTTGTATAGGGAGCTGTGCATGTGATTTTATCTGAACATAACAGCTTCATAGTCCCCTGTACCTGCCTTTTGATTCTATCTATTGTTATGGCTCAGCTGTTTGAGTACACATCTCCCTGACGCTAGTTTGGAAAAGAGATGTTGGGAGTAATGGCCTTATTTTTGCTTTCTTACAGGCTATTATGCACCATGAAGGCCACATGGATGATGGCATAAGTTTATCGAGATCCCAGCATGAAGAATCACGCACAGCACGAGTTATCCGGAGCACAGTCTTCCTTTTCAATAGATTTATAAGGTACTTTTTCTTTTGTAGGTGTAGTTGTTTGATACTTGATTTTCATTTCTTTATTGGATATGCAAATAGGCAATTTAAAAGTATGCTATGATGGTAAGAAATCTCATACTGTTTGGTAAGTCAGCAGAAACATTAGGAAGTGTTAATTAGATGATTTAATGTCTTTCTTTTAAATAAACTTTTAAAAAGAATGTGGTTTTGGACATTAGATGTGTAATTTGTAATTGATAGGTATAGATTAGGATTATTTAATGACTACTCTTCCTTGTACTGGACCTATGTAGTTCCTTTTTCTTTTCTTTTTCTTTCTTTCTTTCTTTTTTTTTTTTTTGAGACAGAATCTTGCACTGTCACCCAGGCTACAGTGCAGTGGCACGATCTCAGCTCACTGCAACCTCTGCCTCCTGGGTTCAAGCGATTCTCCTGCCTCAGCCTCCTGAGTAACTAGGATTATAGGTGCTCACTGCCACACCTGGCTAATTTTTGTATTTTTAGTAGAGATGGGGTTTCACTATGTTGGCCAGGATGGACTCGATCTCCTGACCTCATGGTCTGCTCACCTCGGCCTCCCAAAGTGCTGGGATTACAGGCGTGAGCCACTGTGCCTGGCCTAGTTCCTTTTTCAATGAGGGCAGTGAAGCCTAGATATATGCTGAGTTTTGATACGTATTTTTAAAAAGTAATCCTCATAAAAACTGTTTTTCCACCTAATAAATGCAATAATTACATATCTACAGACTAAATTAAACTTGTGACCAACATGTTTTCTGGTAACATTATACCAACATATGCTCTGACTTGTGAGGGATTTCATTTGTCTCTTTAAACTTTGCTAATTTGATGGGGGAAACTTCTTGTTGACCATCTTTCTTCATTTCTTTTTTCTTTTGTGTTTATTCCTATTATTTGTTAATATTTCTGTTAAGTTGTTCTGAACTTCTGTTATGTTTAGAGATACTCATTTCCTGTTATGATAAATTGCAAACCTTTTCACCAGTTTATTGATTTGGAAAAGAATTTGAAAGGATTTTTGTAGTAGTTGAGTCGGTAAATTATTTTTTTGACTTTACAGCATAAAACAAATCTCCCCTACTCAAGATTGTATTATTTTCTACTTCTTTTATAAACCATCCCTTTTATAAACTACACACACTGTGTGTATATGTGTGTGTGCCATATGTAACCAAAAAATATGCACAGCATTTGGCCACACATCCTGAGTGTTTAGTCCATTTCTCTGCCTCATCTCAACTCCAAGCCTCGTCAGGGAGTAAAGCTTAAATCGAATGGGGTACACACCACATTTTTGTATTTTTTATTACTTGTATTACTTTTCATATTATTTATATTCTTGTAGTTTAATATAGTATTTATTTCTTATAATAAAAATTTATTACATTTTAGTGCGGCATAAAATTAGTCAAGAAGTTCAATTTGGAAATTATAACTTATTTTGGAAACAAACTTAGCCTTTTCGTATCTTGTTCTTCCCACTAGTTTTTCTTTACTAGAGCTGATCAATCCTATGATAGGGATTGAGCAAATTAATCATAAATCTTTGAAATTGTCAATTTTATATTTAGTCAGCACTGACTTCTTCAAATATGAGGGACTTTTTTTTCTTATTCAATTTGACTGCTGTAGAGTATTCAGTGGCACCACAGAGATTCCATTTGGTAAGTTAATTTAATACTAGACCAAAAACTAGTTATTTGTTTTGAAAACTATTTTGTGGGAAAGCTGCTATCTCAGTGTTACAAACATTATGTAGTGATAGTATACCATAAGTGGCTTTTTTTATGGTGGCTGAAACACCAAAATTCATCTTAAATGTGATTTACTTCAGCCCATCTGCTTTCTGGAAGAATAATTTTAAATTTTAACAATTACTTTTTTGATTAGATAGAGTACCAAGTATGAGAAATTTGGATTCTGTGGTAAAAAAATGTTGAATTATACACTTGCTGCTTTATTAAATCTTGAAAATGATTTTCTGTCTGGGCTATTTGAGTGAAATTCGTTTGTTATACCTATCATGATAAAATAGGATGGTTACATTAACCCCTATTAACTATGAAAAGATTTTCTGATTCCCAGTCTGATTCTTTCTATTTTCTTTCTTCTTGCCTTGCTCTCTTTTTTCTAACTTTGTAAGATGAATGCTGATACCATTGAGACCTTTGTTGACAAAAGCATTTAGTGTTACACTTTTCTGTTTTTAGTGGCACCTCACATGTTTTTATTTTCCTTTCTTGCTTTCTTTTCTTTCTTTTCTGTCTTCCTCTCTCTCCTCCACTCCCCTCTTTCCTCCCTCCCTTCCTCCCTCCCTTCATTCCTTCCTCCCATCCCCTCCCCTTCCTTTCCTTCTTTTGCCCTGCCCTTTCCTTCCTTCCTTCCTTCCTCTTTCTCTCTTTCTCTTCCTTCCTTCCTTCCTTCCTTCTTTCCTTCCTTCCTTCCTTCTTTCCTTCCTTCCTTCCTTCCTTCCTTCCTTTCTTCCTTCCTTCCTTCCTTCCTTCCTTCCTTCTCTCCTTTCTCTCCTTTCCTTTCTCTCTTTCTCTTTTTCTTTTTCTTCTTTCCCCTCCCCTCTCACCATTCTGCTCTTCACTCTCATTCTGTCGCCCAGGCTGGAGTGCACTGGCCCTATCTCTGCTCACTGCAACCTGCCTCCCAGGTTTAAGCAATTCTACTGCTTCAGCTTCCCAAGTAACTAGATTACAGGCATGCACTACCACTCCTGGCTATTTTTTTTATTTTTAGTAGAGACATGGTTTCACCATGTTGCCCAGGCTGATCTCAAACACCTGACCTCAAGTGATCCACCCACCTCGGCCTCACAAAGTGCTGGGATTACAGGCGTGAGCCATCGCGCCCAGCATTGATATGTTTTCTTTCAGTTTCCCCTTTGATGACTTCTTTGAACAATAGATTTTTTCAGCTTCCAAATAGTCAGAAATTTCCTGAATATTTTTCTGTTACTAATTTCTAATTTAATGCCATTATGGTCAGAGAATATACTTTGTGAGATTGATTGCTTTTAAGTTTATTAAGACTTGTTTTATGGCTTAGAATAAACTTTATTTTGGTAAATGTTTCATGTGAACTTGAAAAGAATGTGCATTCTCCTCTTATTGGGTAGAGCATTCAAAAGTGTCAATTTAGTATTACTTATATCTTCAATTTCCTTACGTTTTTCAGTCTCTTTTTTCTATTAATTACTGAGAGAAAGGTATTGCAAAGTGTTTGATTGTAATTGTGGATATTTCTGTTTCTCCTTGCTGTTTGTCACCTTTTCTTTGTGCATTTTGAAGCTCTGTTATTAAGTGCATACATGTTTAGGATTTTGTTCTTTTGATGAACTGACCTCTTTATCATTATGAAATTACCGTCCTTAACTCTGGTAATATTCTTTGCTATGACATGTACTTTGTATAAGGTGAACATAACCACTCTAGTTCCCCTGCCCTTTGTTATTAGCATCCTATAATCTTTAATGTGTTTGTATCTTTATATTTAAAGTGCATTTCTTTTCAGCAATAGGCAGTTGGGTCTTGCTTTTTTATCCCATTTGATAATCCCTGTTTTTAAATTGTATTGTTTAATTCATTTACATTGATATGATTATTGATGTAGTAGGCTTAAGTCTGTCTTCTTCCTATTTATTTTATATTCATCCCACCTAGTAGCAGGATAAAAAAGAGATACACGCACACACACCACCATCACCACCACCGTCACCACTACCATCACCACCCTTACACGGGAGAATGAGAGCATATGGGTTACAAAAAATAAGCCACACAAGAAAAACACTTTGTGTATGTGTATATATATATTTATATACATATATATAGTAATATATATGTGTTATATATATTATATATAATATATATTATATATTATATATATTGTATAATATATGTATTTACTTTGTCATTGTCCCATTTCCCCCTTCTTTTGGATTAGTTGAGTATTTTCTATTATTTCATCTTTCCTCCTTTTTATTGGTTTATTAGCTGTAATACTTTGTTTGTATTTTAGTGGTTACTTACGGGTTAAAGCTGTAATACTTTATTTGTATTTTAGTGGTTACTTATGGTTTATAGTATATATCTTTAATTTGTCACAGTCTACCTTTAATTGATATTTTGTCACTCTATGAATAGTGTAAGAACATTATAATATTATACTTCCTTCCCAGTTTTCGCAGTTTGTCATACATTTTACATTTATAGATGTTATTAATTCCACACTGTATTTTTATTTAAACAGTCAATTCGTTTTTAAAGAGTTTTAAATAACAAAAACATCTCTATTTGCACACATAGTTATAATTTCTAGTGCTCTTTTTTTGTGTGTGTGTATCTGTATTTCCTTCAGGTATTGTTTTCTTCTGCCTGAAGGATTTTTTTTTTTTTTTTTTTTTTTTTTTGGAGACAGAGTCTCTGTCGTCCAGGCTGGAGTGCAGTGGCACAATCTCGGCTCACTGCAACCTCCACCTCCCAGGTTCAAGCGATTTTCCTGCCTCAGCCTCCCAAGTAGCTGGGACTACAGGCACCCACCACAATGCCTGGCTAATTTTTTGTGTTTTTAGTAGAGACGGGTTAGCCAGGATGGTTTCGATCTCCTGACCTCGTGATCCGCCCGCCTCGGCCTCCCAAAGTGCTAGGATTACAGGCGTGAGCCACCGCGCCGGCCGAAGGACTTAACATTTCTTATCATGCAAGTCTGCTGGAGATAGACTCTTTCGGTTTTGTGCAACTGAAAATGTGTTCTTTGCCTTCATTTTAAGTGATATTTTTGCTGTGTACAGCATTCTAGATTGACAATTATTTTTCTTTTGGTTGATTAATTTTACTCCGTATTGATGATTGTATTTTATAGTTCTTTATATGCCTGCTTATTTTTGTTTAGTTACCAGACATTGTGAATTTGTTAGATGCTGGCTATTTTTATATTCCTGTAAATATTCTTGAGCTTTTTCCTGGGATGCTGTTAAGTTACCTAGAAAGAGTTTGATTTGTTTGGATCTTGCCTTTAGAGTTTTCTGGGAGGGAAGAGCAGTGTTTAGTCTAGGGCAAATTATTCCCCACTATTGAGACAAGACCCTCTGAATACTCTATCCAGTGCCCCATGAGTTGCAAAGTTTTCCAGTCTGGCTGCTGGGGACAGGTGCTCTTTTAGGTTCGGTGTGAGGGCCAGTTGTTGTTCCCTCTAATCCTTTCAGGTGATTCTGTTCCCTACCTTGAGTAGTTTTCTCATGATGTTTTCATCAGTGTTCTGCTGAATATTTGAGGGAGACCTTCTGTAGGTCTCCAGGGTTCCTTCTTGTGAGCCCTCTCCTCTCTTTGTCCTGTGGATTCTAGCAACCTTGGTCTCCCCGGACACCCAGCAGTGTCTCTTCGACTCATGGAGACTGTCAGGCCACACCTGGGTTCCCTTCCTGCTCCACGGCCTGAAAATTCTCCGAGGCAGTAAACTGAGGCAACTGTAGGACCCACCTGATTTGTTTCCCATTCCTCAGGAATTCCTGTGCTTTATTCATTGCTATCCAGTGTCTTGAAAGTTTTCATGTTTTTTTGGTCGCCACCCCCACCCCCCATTACACTTTGTCTGTTTTTTGGGTTACTTCAGAGGGAAGGTAAATCCTGTCCTGTCACTTTATCTTGGCCAAATGTCACTCACATCTAGGTAACATGTGCAGTGCTTATTTCCAGATGAGATTCCTTGTTCCCCTTGGGAAATGTAGTCTAGAACCTCTTTGCTGATTCTGCATTGATTTTTTTCTCTTTTAGCTATCCTCCTCTTTACAATCCCATCACAAATTTGCCATATTTTTCTGAGTTATCTAACATCTGCTTTTAACAATCTCTCCCTTGTGATCACCTGAGAAGTGCCATGGATAAACACAACGAACCTTTGTTTCTCTTATGCTTAACTGACCTTAATCATGTATTAGCTTTTTCAACAATTACATTTTAATTACGCTTTGGTTTATTCTCCTTGGTTCTTTTCTATATTTACCCTTTAGTTATATTATTTAACTCCAGTAATCATGTTTATATTGCATATATATATCCAGTAATCATGTTTATATTGCATATATATATATATTTACTTTTTTACTTTACAAGTTTTACTTAAATGCACATGCGTATTACCTATTATAAGTCCCAAATTTAGGCTGGGCACAGCAGTGACTACTCACACCTATAATCCTAGCACTTTGGGAGGCCAAGGTGGGTGGATCACTTGAGGCCAGGAGTTTATCAACAGAGAGTAAACTATATTGTATTCTACATTCTATACAACAGAATGCTACGCAACCAGTAAAATGATAAGGCTTACAAAGTAGCAAATTGGGCTGGGTGTGGTGGCTCACACCTGTAATCGCAGCACTTTGGGAGGCTGAGGCCAGCACGTCACTTGAGGTCACGAATTTGAAAGCAGCCTGGCCAACAGGGACGAAACCCCATCTCTACCAAAAATACAAAAATTAGCTGGATGTGGTGGGCATGCACCTGTAATCCCAGCTATTCTGGAGGCTGAGGCTTGAGAATCGCTTAAGCCCTGAACCCAGGAGGCAGAGGTTGCAGTGAGCCGAGATTGTACCACTGCACTCTAGCCTGGGTGACAGGGTGAAACTCTGTCTAAAAAAAAAAACAATTAGAAGTCCTGAATTTATGTGATTTTTTAATATGTTCAGAAGCTTTGAAAAGTTTTACATGATTACTGAGCATTTTAAAGAGCATATGCTTTTAAATAAAAATTTTATTCGTTTTATCACATTCATGAAAGTACCAAGTCTTTAAAATCTCAGTATTTTTACAATATTTTCACCCAAGTATTTTTCAGTTATTTTTTACTATTAATTTTATTAATGCCAATTTACTTAATTTGTATTAAGATGCTAGTTTTAAAATTTTTACCTTTTAGAAAGAAAGTCAATATTATTTAATAATTTGTGTTTTTCTTATGTGGTTTATGTTCTGAGACCCTTCTATTCTGTCTTTTGTGGTGGTGGTAGTACTGAGTGTGTGTGTGTATATGGTGTGTGTGTGTGTGTGCATTTGTGTTGTCTGCAGGGGAGGGGGCTCTATTATTTTGGCCTGGGGTGGGGAAAAAAATATATATGTATATAGAATATATATGTATATAAAATATATATATAAAATATATAAAATGTGTGTTGTATATTTCTAATAGTAATACCATGAGCATTTAAGTAATACATAATGTGTGTGTATACATGGAAGTGTATAAACATATATATTATATGTAATTATACATTATAATGGATATATTATATAGTATATTATAATGTATAGTATAGTATATATTATATATACTATTTTATATGATAGTATATATAATTAATAGTATATATTAGTATGTGTATTATATACTATACTACCTAATAGTATAACAATAGTATATGCTATACTATATATAGTATATAGTATACATTATATAATATAGTATATGCTATACACTATAGAGTATATTATACATTAATAATATGCTATATCAGCATATACTATTAGTATATACTAATAGTATATACTATATATAATGTGTAACAAAAATATACAATAAATATATATAACATCATATGTTTTATATGTACTATATATGTTTTCATTTTTCTTCTGGATATATTCATAAACATATTCTTGAAGTAAATGAGAGAGGGGAGGAACCTCTATTTGTTAGGTAATAATATAGTTTAATCTTTAAATTACAAAATGTAGCCATAGGGTTAATAGCTTTCATTTTTACTCTGGCATAGGGTGATTCTACTACTTTTGGATTTCTGGATGATTTTTTTTCCCTGATTATATTTTTTGTTCACGATAAATTAAGATGATATTCATCTCTTTATTAGATGAAAGCCCTAAAACATAACATAATTAGTAATTGTAGAAGTTTGGACAATATTTCTTCTGACAAGAGATTTCTCTTACAAAGTAATTGAATAGTTACATTCCTCATGGTAGATATGTTTATTTCAATATAATAACCTAAAGACTGACATTTACTGTTGTTTTCACTTAAATTTGAAAATGTGGATACTGAATCATTTTTGAATTGTATTCACTTATTAAGAGTTGAGTTTGAATTTGTTATACATTTATTTATGTTTAATTGGAGTTAATGGGGTAAAATGTTTAGAAAAATACTTCATTACATGTGAAATTTTCTTGTTAAAGGGGAAAAAAATAATTTTCTACTGAAAAGTCACTCTTGCTTTTTGGGTACAGAAAAACTTATAGAGGTGATAAAACTTGGGGGTAGATGAATTCTACCTCCAAGATCAGTTGATATAACTGATATAGAACTTCAGGCAAAACTTTAAAATAGTTGTACGGTTTTACGATTTCTACTGTTTGATAAGGTTGAAATCAAATATTCCAAAATCATTAGCAATCTTTGTGGAAGTGATGACACATTTTAAATAATGTTTTAAAACTATAAAGTTCAAAGCTAATTCTCATTCATGAGTATTTTATTGTTTTATAATGTAAGTTCCAACATAGTCAGAAAATTAGAAACATTTGCTTGGGATAAAATGTTAGCATACAGTTTTGCTGATACAGAGAGCAGGAATGGAAGTGTAATATTTCTATGCATTAACAACTTGTCATGGCTATAGAATATTATGGTATCAACTACAGTAGAGGTACTGTCCCATTCTTTTATTGTATGCATTGTGCTTTTTAAAATCGTTTTATTTCGAAATACTTTTGATTTGTAGACATCATGTTTTAAAGTTCTTTTCAGATACATTCAAGGCTATGAGTTTAAAAACTGAGAATCTCAGTAAGCTCAACAAATTAACACATTTACATGCCAGTAATGTACCTTTCTTCCCAGGTTAGAAAATACTTCATGATGTTTTTGTTAATATAATTTTTAAATGCATTTCTTTCAGATAATAGAAAAGCATTTTAATATATATTTACTGATTAATAAGCAAATTTTCTAAATTAACATCATTAGAATATATTTTTGAACTCACAGGAGTTAAACAGAATGGCAAGCTAGGGTCCATGAAAACTTAGGCATTCCTTTTCAAAAACAAACCACAAGGAAACGTCAGAATTATGAATCTGGAAAGATGCAGCCTGAATCTTTAAAGTGTGTAGCTTTCCAGTGAAAATCAACTGGTTTCTGAACATTTCGACTATTGGTTTTGTAGGCACTGTTCCTGTGGCCTATAAGGTTATTCTCTAGATGACTGGCTGTGGATACTGGTTTTTATAACATAACATTACACAGTTTCTGACTTGAATTAGAATTCCTTATCGCTGCTTGAGGAGCAGGAGGACCTTTCTGACATGTCCCTTTTACAGTGGTGTAGGGAGAGAGATTAATCTCTGAAATCATCCATAAATGGAAAAATGATACAGTTGGGAATCACCGACAATAGAGAAATGTTTATGGTTTATTTTAGGGGCCTCGATGCGCTCAGCAAGAAAGCGAAGGCTACCACCGTCGATTTGCCGATAGAATCCGTGAGTCTAAGTCTGCAGGATCTCATTGGCTACTTTCACCCGCCCGATGAGCATTTAGAACATGAAGACAAACAGAACAGACTACGAGCCCTGAAGAATCGGCAAAATCTCTTCCAGGAAGAGGTGCGTTTCTGTCCACACTCACTTCTCTTCTGTTGTTCTCTTGTAAAAACAGCTTCTTGGTTGGGAAAATTCTCCATCTATGTGCCCATCTTTGCATTTTGCAATATAGAGGAGAAAGTATATTACTGAACAGGAGAAACAGGCCTTAGAGAAATCTAGACATGGTTTTTATTTATTTATACTATCCATGAATATTAATTTAAAAACATGAATCTTTTCATTCTCCTGGCAAGAGACATTTACCCTCTGCTCAGCCCTCACCCTGGTCTTTTGCAAGTTCTCTTCATGTGGGTTATATCAGTTAAGAATCTTAAAGTGTCTATAAGAATACAGGCTTTAGAAAGCATCAGGGTTTTCAAACTATTCAGCAGGTTCTCGGGTGCTCCTGGGAAATGGCCCGGGATGTATAGGAAGCCTTGTGTTGGGGATGGAAGCTGTCAAGAGAGGGCTACCGGAGTAGGCTGAGCTCCAGGGACCCTACTTGGACAGAGCAACCCTACCCTTCCCCTTTGCATCTATTACATTTCCATGTATGATTGTCTTACACCAAAAGTTTCACTGCTAAAAAGAACTCGTGTCATATTTTATAAGCAATAAAAGAAGGACCAAATGATATATCTAATGTTCTAATATAGTCAGAAGCTTCAGTAGAGACTACCAGGGTTGGTGGGATAAATCAGGCTAGTTCAGCTGGATTCCCATTCTTTTCAATGCATCTTGTATGGAGAATAATGATTTTTTTTCTGAATAAATACTTAGCTTTGTAAAAGCAACAAAACAGGTTATTCATTGAGTCCACATGGACACAAAGAGGGGAACAAGAAATACCAGGGCCTACTTGAGGGAGGAGAGTGGGAGGAGGGCAAGGGTCGAGAAACTACGTATCAGGTACTGTGCTCATTACCTGGGTGATGAAATTGTTTATACATCAAACCTGTGACACACAATGTACCCACGTAACAAACCTGCACATGTAACCTCCAAAGCCTAAAATAAAAGTTGTGACAGAAAGAAATAAAACTAAAAAACAAAATCAAAAAGTGTTATTACTAGGTTCTCATAATCCCTGTCTACTTTTAAAGCTGTTTTCTAATATCTCATTAGAAACTCTTGAAACTGACATAACTTTTTGAGGACATTCCCACTGGGTATTCAAAAGAAATGACCTATCTGGAGACCTCAATGGCACGAAAGCAAAAAAGTATCAACATAAACCAATAATAACATGGACAAGTTTATTGGGAGCTTTCACATATGCCAAATTGTTAGACTCTTTTACAATGCTGCATTGATTTAATATCTGGAAGAAGTAAAATTAAATATTGCGTTGTAAAAATTAAAATATTAATTTAGTTTTTTTCCCAACTTCTCATATAAGACAATCTGGATGGCGACTTGGAAATGTACTTAGGTCCATGGTATCTCTTAAATTCTGTGTGAAATAAATTAGTTGGATTAGATAGTGGTTTATAGCTCTTTATGTGGTTTGCCACACTTTTTACAACCTTGATCTACCAATAATAATAAAGCATAATTTCAATCTCAGGCTGTATCTTACAAAGTTCATTATAATGCAAAAATGCATTATAGCATTTTTGATTCGCTTTAAAAATACCTTTTCATGAGCTTTACCTGATTTACTATGTCTTTAATTTAATAATAATAATAATAATAATAATAATGCCTATCTAAGAATAAGGATCTGCTCTTATGGTCACTTAACAATAGAATGCCATAAGTATGACGTACATATAGGTAGGTTGTTCTTCCACTGTTTGATGATGACATTCAGAATTTAAAATCCACTTGAATTATCTGAAGAACATTTCATTTCACATGCAAATGTGTGTCTTCCTGTCCTTGGAATGATCACAATTTTCTTTATGATTAGTAGGTGAACCTTCAGCCAGACTTCTATTTTTAAATCAGCTTAGCATCTTTAGTCTGTAAGCAGAATGACAGTTTTAGATGTCTTTTTTTTTTAACCTTCCAGGGAATGATCAACCTCGTGCTCGAGTGCATAGACCGATTGCACGTCTACAGCAGTGCAGCACACTTTGCTGATGTTGCTGGGCGAGAAGCAGGGGACTCTTGGAAATCCATTCTGAATTCTCTGTATGAGTTGCTGGGTAAGAAGCATGATTGGGTTCACGACAATGGAGTTATGTCTATTTAAAATGTCCATAAATGGGCTACGTGTGGTGGCTCATGCCTGTAATTCCAACAGTTTGGGAGGCGGAGGGGGGAGGAGCGTTTGAGGCCAGGAGTTTCAGACAAGCCTGGACAACATAGCAAGACCCCATCTCTACAAAAAATAAAATAAAATAAAAATAATCACATAATAGCTACAACAATTTTATAACATGCCTCCTAATTGAGGCTTAAATTTTAATTTACTGGGCTAAATCAAATGGTGCTTAGTATTAAAATCCATCTCTGAGTGAGAAAGGTAGCTAGAGAAGTAGATTTGCCTTTGGTTAAAGGAGGTGAAAGTCATTCAGGGTGCAGTCTTTGCAGATAAGGGGCCTTTATATGGATATGTATTAAAAATTTCTTTTTGGTTTTGGAGTTAGTTCCACAAGGGTCCCTCTTAATTCCTTCCATTCCCATCTTATCAGTGATCTGCTCCAGTCTTCTCTCTGTTCTTTATAAGATCTCCATTTGGCAAGTTCTAAGTACTCCTGACATTGATTAAGTGACAGTTGCTGTGGTTTGCTCTGCATTCCTGTGGGCTCTCTGCAAACACAAGTCCTCATTATTTTTGACCTCCTGTAGCTTCTACTTGTCTCTTGTCAAAAACTAAAAGGTCTGAGATTTTTACCCTATTGGCAAGCTAGTAAGTTAGCCTGCAGTTAGGGTAAAGAGGGACAGTTTAGTAGTCAAAGAAATGGCTGTAGCTGTAGAGATTGGCTGTAGTGCCAATTCTCTGAGCCCCAGTTCTCAGAGGACAATGTGAAGGGGCAGATGACACCTACACATGCAGCTGGTTGAGTTACAGAAAAGGAATCCTGAGTTCAGGGAGTGTGAGTTCGTTACACTAGACAGAAAGCGCGCCTGGCCTTTGCTGTGGGTGGAGACGTCTCCCTCTCACAGGGCCTCTTGCTGCAAACATCCTGGAAAAGATTTTCTGAAACAAAGTTTCCAATGACTTGTTTGCAAGACGTGCAAAAACAGAGACCATGGGGAATGGTCTCTTTCTCCACCCAAACCCTCACCTCCAAAATCTCAGATTCATCCTGTATGTCGCAACTGTTACGTCACTTCCCTGTTTAGACAGCGTTCACATTTCTATAACATTCTAGAAGATAAAGTTCACCTGGTTGCCCCTGGTATATGAGGCCTCAGTTAACCCTTCCAGCCTTCTATTTTCCCAGTCCCCTTATCCCTACCCCCTTACTTGAGCCACATCACAGTTTCTGGAACTTTCCATACAGATCACACCTCTGGGACATTCTCTCACCTTTTTCAGAATTGTTGTATATCCTTCAAGACCCAGTTCACGTGTCACTGTCTTTTAAAGTTACTCTTGATGACCGGGCATGGTGGCTCACACCTGTAATCCCATCACTTTGGGAGGCTGAGGCAGGCAGATTACCTGAGGTCAGGAGTTCGAGACCAGCCTGACCAATATGGTGAAACCCTGTCTCTACTAAACAAGCAAACAAACAAACAAACAAGAAATTAGCTGGGAGTGGTGGCGGGAGCCTGTAATCCCAGCTACTCAGGAGACTGAGGAAGGAGAACCATTTGAATCCGGGAAGTGGAGGTTGCAGTGAGCCGAGATTGCACCACTGCGCTCCAGCCTGGGTGACAGAATGAGACTCCATCCCAAACAAAAACAAAAATAAAGTTACTCTTGATGTTTCTCCCAACTCTTAAGTATAATTAAACCTTCTTTCTGTGGTTTCTTGCCACTAAGTTTTACCTGTATTTTATAGCAGTTGTCACATTTCTTATTTATTATAAGTGTGATTGATTTCTAAGGCAAGAATAGCACCTTCCTGGTTTTTGTATCTCTGTCATTTAACTGAATGTCTGGCACGTAGAAGATACTCAATAAATGTGTATTCATTAAATGACTTAAGTTCTGACAAAATAGGAAAGTATACCTAAGTATAGAAAGGAGATAATGCAAAAAAAAAGTTATAAAAAAAAGAAAAAAAGATAATGCATTTTTAATGGAAAGAATGAAGGATAGTCAAAATATTTGAAAGTTCTTTGCAATCTAATTAAATGTCATTAAAATTTATAGAGTCATAATACAACCTAGCAAATAAAACTCTTGTGCCTATTAGAATTGTTAATATGTTTTCATTAGGTGGACTATTTGATATGCCATTAAAATTAAACACTTGCAGTTTGGTACTTTCAGATTAAAACGTAACATGTGGCTGCCATTTCTGAGAACAGGACCAGGGATATTGAGGCTTTACAGGAATTTGAATTCATTATTTTACCCACAGTAATCATCGAGATAAAGATTTTGTGAGGCCAAAATTCTAATGACTGCCTTTCTTTGCAAATGCAGAAGTTATAGCACTAAATTTCATAATATAGCAGAGACTAAAGTGTAGTGGTGTTTTTAACACCACAGACTACCTTCTTTACTTGGCATAAGATTAATTTCTTGGATAAACTCGACGCTTAAGTAAACAGTTGCATCACCTAGCCTGGGCAGCGTAGGAAAACCCTCTAAATAATAATAAAAACTAGCTGGATGCAGTGGCTCACGTGTGTAGTCCCAGCTATGCAGGGGGCTGAACTGGTAGGATTGCTTGAGGCCAGAAGTTTGGGGCCAGCCTGGGCAACCATCTCTAAATTTAAAAAAGAAAATTTTATGTATGTATGTTTGAGGGTAGAAAGTGTTATGTGCAGAAAGAACATTGTTTTTGTAGGTAAATCTAGAAAATAAGCATCTTACTTTACTTTTCATATCAACTCTTCTTATAGCCTCTGTTAATTGGTTCCTTCAACAGGTATTGTATCCATGAGTAACAAAATGAATAGAAAGAATTCTATTTTTTGATATAACCATAGAAAAAGTCCATTGCCAAAAAGTTAACACTTCAGCTTTATCCTTCTGAGCTACTTATTTCTCAAGCCAGTCCTCCCTTTACCTCCACAGAGTTATTTGGGGATTAAATTTGATGATTTTAGAACCTACAAAAGTAACATTAATAGACTTTACAAAATGTTGGGGACTTGGTGGGTATGAACACAGTTCCTGCTCCTAATTAGTTTTGAGGTTGGCTTTTACTGGAACGTGGCTAGAGATGTGATTTTAAAATGGCTTACCTATTTAAATAGAAAGAGAAAGGAACTCTTATAGGCGGAGTGATGTTTCTATCGGGATGTGTTCAGTTGGAAATAACAGAATACCCAAACGCAAACTGGCTTCAACAACAGAGGGGATTTGGGGGCTTGCATAGCTCGCAGTCTACCAGTGGGTTTGACACAATGGCTCCATCTGATCTCCAGAACAAGCTTCTTTATGTCTCCACTCTGCCTTCCATGGGGTCATCTTCTTCCAGTGCTGGCTTTTCTTGATGGCCTCAACTGTCTGCTATCAGCTGCTAGGACTGCGTACTTTCTTTCTGACATGAGAAAAGTGAAAGAGGGCTTGTTGCAGAAGTTATACCTTGAGAAAGAGTGTGCTATTTCCTAAAATCCCCAAATACAGTGCTCCTTGCATGTCATTAGCCCAAATTGTGTCTGGCCATTCCTGAACTGGTCACTCTGGCAAGAGTAGAGAAATTTTAACACTAGTCTTGACTGATCAGGGACCCACTCATGAAACTGGGTCAAGTCCTTGGACTGTCCATCTGTTGTACAGGGAATGAATGTTATAGAGGATGCTGCCCAGGCAGCTGAAGTTTCCACCCCAAATGTTGACTCGTATACTTATTCAAAGGGTTTTATGAACTGAATTCTAATCAGAATGCTTTTATTCACTACCTAGCACTATGGTTGAATAGAGTAGGCAGTCAATAAATATTTGCTTGAATTATTTAATAAATACATTACAGAGATTTCCATTGACTTCTGTAGCAGGGTGGATTTGGCTATCAATTTAGTGTATTAAAAACCAGTGGACCTCCTGCTCCTCTTTCATTAGGTTCCTCTCTTGAAATATAAACACCTGACCTTTCATTCAGGCATATAGCAAGTGGCACCTATTGTTACTATAAATATTACCTGTAAAATGGCAGTAATCATTCCCCTCATAAGGTTGTTGGGTGGCTTAAATGTTATAATGTATAGAAAATGCTCAGCATCACATATTATTGTTCTTCTTATCATTATTCCCATTTCTTTTGGATACTTATTATCATCCTTTCCCTTGTTAACATAGTGAAGCTTTTGTCTCCAACCTCTTGCTCCATTCTTATTGTTGTTGTTTTGCTTTTCAAAGATGTCCTAGAAAAGAAACTTTACTTGTTGGATATAGCATAGAATGTTATGGATTAGCCAATAGAGCTCATAGAATCATGATGATTGTAGGTGTGTACTGGTTCTTCTTTTCCTCATCGGAAAATGGCAGGAACGAAGTTTGCTTTATCACTATCCTCAGACTGCAGATTTTATATTCTATTATTCTACCCTTTTTTTTTTTTTTTGAGACGGAGTCTCGCTCTGTCACCCAGGCTGGAGTGCAGTGGCCGGATCTCTGCTCACTGCAAGCTCCGCCTCCCAGGTTCACGCCATTCTCCTGGCTCAGCCTCCCGAGTAGCTGGGGCTACAGGCGCCGCCACCTCGCCCGGCTAGTTTTTTGTACTTTTTAGTAGAGACGGGGTTTCACCGTGTTAGCCAGGATGGTCTCGATCTCCTGACCTTGTGATCCGCCCGTCTCGGCCTCCCAAAGTGCTAGGATTACAGGCTTGAGCCACCGCGCCCGGCCTATTCTACCCATTTTTGAACACAGCATCACACATCTGCATCTTTACCGTCTGGTGTACAGCTAAATACTTCAGATCTCAATGATAGTCACATATGGTAAAATTGGTGGTTAATCTCTTTACCTCCGCTCCTTCTCCTTTCCAGTCTTTACTCAGACCTCAGGGAGCTCTCACACACTTCTCATGGACTTTCAGAGACTCTCTGACCTGCTTTACACCTTCTTTTAAGAAGA